GGGATGATCAGAATCATCAACTGCAGTTAAATAGTGATTGCCTGAAGCTGAGAATCCATCCTTTAAAAGCTCTGTATTTCTGCAAATGTTCAGGAAATTTGGATTTTGAGATGAGAAGGTCTACCATTTTTCCTCCTTCGCCAACAAAATAACAAAACTTCTCTTTCTTCCTCCCTAAACCACTTGTCCTCATTATTCTGATTTGGCCTCCTGGACAAGTGCCCAGTTTTCAGCAACATAAGCACTTGAAACTTCCATGTGGGTAATGATACTCCTGACATCTTGGCCATAGGAATATTGTTTGGAACTATATATTCCTTTCCCAAAGTCCAGTCTCAATACATGGACACTACATAGAGATTATAGGGAAGGTAAAAAGTTCTATTAGGTATCTAACTTTATTCTAATTACAAAAGGAGGTAAATTAGAAGATTAAAAAGTAATTTAGGATGTTACTGCATACAACTAAGATAGGGAAAGAATTACAGAAGACAAGAGAGCCACATTCCATTAAGAAATGCCCTCTCCAGAAGAACAAAAGATTAGAGTATTGCTAGAGTCACTGATGACTTGTTTGAGATATGAGTTTGAGATAAATGATCCTTCTGTCAACCTAAATAACAAACAGAGAAAGAGATGCTCTTAAAAAAGAAAAAAAGATGTTTGGGTATAGGTATTGCAAAGGGAATATGCTTGCAGTAGTAAACTATGTGCATATTCAGGAAGGTACAGGAAGACAAAGGTTTTTAAAGGGAAAATGAGGAGGATTACACAATTGTTTTGAGATAATTATTCTTGGCTATGTGGATCAATAACAAGGGTGGAGCCAGTTAGAGGTTGGACAGGTAGCTGCTGGGCAAATGACCTCCCAGAAGTATTTTTTTGTGTGTATAAGGTTGTGATAGCCTTTGTGTAAGGTTGTGGTTTTTGTAGTCTTTTGTGATTGTTCTTGTTATCATGCATTTGTGCATGAGAGCCTTCCCTTCATGGCTTTTTTGGGCCATTTGTCAGGGTTTTTAAAACAAGAATAACAGAGAAAATGGCCTGAAAAAAGGTAAAAATGTTTTCTGTCTCTTCAAAACAACCTCTTTACCCTTTTTTGAGAACTAAAACCTATATCCCTGACTTAGGCCAGTGGTCAGGAGGGGCAGGGAAGTGTCCTTTTTTCTTTGTGCTACAGGAGATGGCTCAAGAGCAGAAGTCACAAGATTGTCTTAGCCAAAGATGGGATTATGGGATTAATCAGAATCTTTAAAAGCTCTGTACTTCTGCTCAGAGGGAGGATGTTGGTACTTTGAGATGGGAGTCTGCCAATCTCCTCATTTGCTGGCAAATTAATAAATTCCTCTTTCCTTCTCCTCAAGCCACTTGTCCTCGTTCTCCTAATGTGGCCTGGGGGACAAGTGCCGAACTTTCGGTAACACAAGTGACTCCATTTTTATTCTGATAACTTTCCCACTTTGCTCCTTGAGCTGGTGCCCAGGAGAGTACATTCCAATCTCTTTAAGTATCCTGTTTTGGTGCCCACCTAACAAAAATTTTTAAAAGGTAATCCTATGTCAGTTGTCAAAACCATTTTTTAAACTTTTCTGAATGGTGACATCCCTAAGTCTGATGGTCTCCATTCTAAGGAAACAATTGGAGATGCGACAGCTTGGTTTTATGGGAGAACTGCTAAGTTACTGCTGATGAAAATATTGATGGGGCCGGGCGCAGTGGCTCATGCCTGTAATCCTAGCTCTCTGGGAGACCGAGGCGGGCAGATCGTTTGAGCTCAGGAGTTCGAAACCAGCCTGAGCAAGAGCGAGACCCCATCTCTACTAAAAATAGAAAGAAATTAATTGGACAATTAAAAATCTATAGAAAAAACTAGCTGAGCATGGTGGTGCATGCCTGTAGTCCCAGCTACTCAGGAGGCTGAGGCAGGAGGATCACTTGAGCCCAGGAGTTTGAGGTTGCTGTGAGCTAGGCTGACGCCACGGCACTCACTCTAGCTCGGGCAAAAGAGTGAGACTCTGTCTCAAAAAAAAAAAAAAAATGAAGTTTGGTCAAATATATCAACTCCTGGAGAAAGAGCAAGTAGTGGGAGTCTCTCTGAACCTATTCTGGTTCAGGGGGGTGCCTGATAAAAAACTTTTTTAAAAAAGAAAGATCAGGTAGTACAAAGTCTCAAAATAGATCATTTCATTTTATTTTATCAGAATAAAAATGGAGTCACTTGTGTTACCGAAAGCTTGGCACTTGTTCCCTAGGCCACATTAGAAGAATGAGGACAAGTGGCTTGAGGAAAAGGAAAGAGAAATTTATTAAAAAATAAAAAATCTCATTTCAACATGTAATCAATGTAAAATTATTAATGAGAGATTTTACTATTTCTTGTATTAAATCTTTGTAATCTGGTATATATTATAAATTATGTCACATCTTGATTTGAACTAGTGTCATTTTAAGTGCTCAATAGCCATATGTGGTTAGAGGCTACCATGTTGTATAGTATTAGGTATAGCTCTTGAGCCTAGATACACTTGCTGAGTGATCTTATCTCTGTCAGAGTTCCAATTTTCATCTATTAGCTGATGATTCAAATTTTTATCTTTGCCCTCACTATTCTTTTGAGCTCCAGTCCCTTGTAGTCATTTGAAGTCTTCACATCTCCACTTGAATGCCCCAAGACACCTCAGCCTCAGCATATCTCACATCAAACTCATGATCTTCCCTTTCGAATCTGGAATATTTTCCTGGCTCTGATATTTACGTTACCATTCATCCAGTTTCATCAGCACAAACCTAAGGGGCTTCTTTGATATTTTCTTCTCTCTCAACCCCTTCATACAATTCATCATCAAGTCTTGCCCATTTTTTCTCCCAAATATCTCTTAAATCTATTCATTTCTCCTCATATCCACCATCGCTCTGGTTCAAGCCACTATCATCTTCTGCCTGGATGACTGTACTAGACTCTAAACTGGTCGTCCTGCTTTCATTTTGGCTACCCTCAAATCTACTCTGCACACTGCAGCCAACGATGATCTTTCCAAAATCTGATCATGTTAACTACAAATCTCATCAGATTAACTGTCCCCTCACCATTAAAACAATTAAGGGATTTCTGTTTCTCTTAGGACAAAGGACAAAGCCCTCAGAATGATCTAAAAGGCCTTGTAAGCTCTCTTCCCGCCCTTTTCCTTCCTCCAACACATGTATTATACTTACCTTTCCAGTCTCCCCTCATAACACTCGCTCTCCCCTCCATCTCTTTGTAGTCCAGCCATTCTGATTATTTTTTAGTCCCTTAAATGTGTCATACTCCCTCCCTCCTGTTGTACAGATGAGAAAACCAAGGCTCAAAAAGATGATGTGAGCTGTCCAGAGACACACGGTTATAACTAAAATTAGAATCCATGTCTCCTCTTTGAAATACAATGCATCTCTCCTTACTTTCCCTTTGCCAAGAATCCTCTCCCTAAACCCTTCCCCTCCCCTTTGCCTATTTATCCTTCAGATCTCAGCCTAATTGCTACTTCATCAGGGAAGCTTTAATGGACCATCCTATCTAGGCTGATTCCTTCTTTACGTTCTCATAGCACTAGTTGTAAATTTACTTTAATTAACATCATGGATTAATGTTTATTTTTGTTAATTGGCTCTATGATGACAAGGACCATATCTGGTTTTGCTCTCAATATATTGCCAGATCCAGGCACATACTAAGCATTGAATGAACGGATAGATGAATGAGGTATGGATGAGTGAATGAGTGAGTGAATGTCAGCCAGGCAGAGAGCAGCCCAGACAGAAGGAATAGAGAGTAGGAAATGCTCCAAGGTCGGAAAGATCTTTGAGAGCTGGAGCTAGGAAGAGTGTGGAGAGACTAGAGAATTATGCAGAGGCTGAATGATGTTGGATATTTTTAAGGATTTTGGATAAATGGAAGCTACTTCTATTTTTTGGTATTGTGTTTGGTTTAGCAAATTTTATATTGCTAGCTATCAACCAGATCAAGCTGTTTATTATTTTCCAATAGGCAAAGAACCACTACAGAGAAAGAAATTTAAAAATCCAAATAGAGATAGATTTAGAGAGAGAAATGAAGATATGTAAAGGAATATGAGAAGTAGTTTTTAGTAGGATTGGATACGTACTGCCTGAACCTTTAATACAGATAATATACATTTATGCAGTTGTGGTCAAGGCCTGTGTAAGGTTTACTTTAAACCACGGGCAAGAAGGCCCTTAAAGACATTCAGATGCCCGTGAAGCTTGGTGCCTAGTTTAAAGCTAATGAAAACACCTAAACTCTCTGGATGGACAAAGAGCCATATTCAGGAGAAATTGAGGAGGAGTTGGTGCAGGCAGCCAATCACAATCCACGTAGGCCGCAAACTAAATCTCAAACTGCAGTTTGAACATGGGGCTCTCTCATAAAAGGTCAGAGGTAAAGAAATGGGCAAAATTCACTTACATTCTGATGAAACGTCCTAAATCCAAAGGGAAGGTGACTAGAAATAGAGAAATTGGAGTGTCATCTTTCGTATTAACGGGAGAGGCTCTATGTCCCCGTGTGTCCAAACCTGTAATTCTTGTCATGAATTGGAAGTGAGAGGACTGTGAGGGGATTCCGTATGGAACCGTCAGGGCTTCAGAGTTGTACGAGAAACTGACACGGAAATTCAGCGTCCAAAATTATCTCCTTGAGTGCCTAGACTGCCTCGCCGTCAACTGTAATTATGAATATCAACGTAGTCCTTTTGAGTCATTAAAAATAGGAATGTCCCTGTTCACAGGGCAGGCACAGGCATCGACAGCTTATTTTGGAGCTCAAGATCACCTTTAAACTTGACCCTACGCAGGCCGAATTGCACCAGGAACACCCAAAGCGCGGGGCAAGGCAGGAGTCGGGTCTGGCCCCAGCCTCTTACAGCCTGGTATGCCCAGGCCGAGTTCCAGGCGGAGACGCCAGAACGCCTGGCCCGAGGATCGCCGGATCTCCTCAGTCGAGTCCTCCTCCGTCCCAGCATTCCCTGCGCTCCACCATCGAGAGCAGCTTCCGGCGCCGTTGGTGTAGGTGGGTGAAGAAGGAGCGGGCCCTCGCCGCTCTGTCTCATTCCCTCGCGCTCTCTCGGGCAACATGGCGGGCGTGGAGGAGGCAGCGGCCTCCGGGAGCCACCTGAATGGCGACTTGGATCCGGACGACAGGGAGGAGGGAGCTGCTTCTACGGCTGAGGAAGCAGCCAAGAAAAAAAGACGGAAGAAGAAGAAGAGTAAAGGGGCTGCTTCAGGTAAAAGGAGTTTTATGTTTTCCTAGTCCCCGTCAGGAATGGCCGAATGGCTTGGCGCAGGCCCGGCGGGGGTTCCGGGGACCGGGGACCCGGAGCCTCAGACTAGACTGATACCCAGGCCTGAGAGGGTGGCAAGGCTGGACTACAGATTCCCAATCCCGGGAAGCGGCGGCATCTCCTGTGGGACTGGAGGGCTCGTGGGGTGGGGTGGAGGAGGAAAGTGTGCCTCAGCTCTGGGGTCGCTGGGCCCAAGTCCTTGTATTGCCAGAACTCAGCTTCCACACAGACCATGGCACGGTCTTGAGACGGCATAGAGCACAGCCCCACCATCTTCCGCGCGGTTTGGCCAACTCAAAAATCCGGTTCTGACCCGTATTGCCGCTTCTTTGCTGGGGCAAACTGGGACGTATTTTCCTTCAGGGTAGGAGCAGTGTGGGCGAATGTAATGCCCGATCACATCTCCCCCCACCATCCTGTTTTCACTGGGGTTTTTGTTGCGGGCTACGCTTACGGGGTGTGTGTATGCCCGTGCGCTCATGTCATTAATTGCAGGATTTGTGGTGGTGCGAATTTTCGACTGCCTAATCTCACAGCAGAGTCAAGCTTTAGGGCCTTTAGGCCCGAATTGTGATGCCACTTGCAGGCACTGCAGGTAGGATATTCTGTTGCTCAGAATGGAACTTCTCAGGCGGTGTCCTCTAAATCCACTGGTAAGGCAAGGAAAACAGTCGAAAGTTTACAGTTGGATATTATGAGGTAGGAACTTAAAAGTTGCATTTTGAGAAGTCAGTGTTTTGTTGCACAAGCTCTTTCGTTTTAAAAAAAATTGTTTTTACCCGTTTCTAATTAAAATCGGCCACAGAAAGAAAGAGAAAAATGGAGAGACCAGAAGTGATTAATACGGAGTTATGAGAGGTTGTTGTAGAGGGCTAATCTACATATTTCTGAAATTTTGATTAGATGGTAGTGGAAGAGGTTGAGTTTTAGCATTGTTGGGACTCTTCCATAGCAAAATTTAACCCCAGGACATAGTCTGGTGGCTGTTCCTGACTTTCAGATGAAATCCAAACTGCAGTTTGTTCTGTAGGATGTTCAGCTGACTGGCTCTAATATATTTTTAACAGTTGTAGTTCTCAGTATGAATTCTCTTCAGTAAGCCAGAATGTCACTTCATTATGTGCTACCTGATAATACTTTTTCTTTCCATGCATAACATATTGCTCTTACAGCTAGGTTGTAATCAATTCCAGATGAAGGACCTGGTCTTGTGCTTAGATGTTCAGGAATTTTGTTTTTTAGTAATGGACTATCTTTTGTTATTTATTTTGATTTTACTCAGCCTATCAGGACATTTTTCATGAAGCTCAGAAGCACCCGCCTGTTGCACATGAATCCTCTTCTTCCTAAGGTCTTCCACATTTATTGCCTATCTTAAGTATCTGTCTAGTAATTAAAGTGTTTGGACTTCAATTGCTGCCTACTTTTAAAAGTTAAACTACTTGAGGATGGGGTCCAACTCACACTTTGGTTTATCTTTTAGTTGCTAGCATGTGTAATGGATATATGGTTCAGTGAATTAATGAATGGACAATATTAAGTATGAAAGATTTTTCTCTGTTATTAGACAAATTCTATTATGTTTACAATAATGTTTTTTTCCTCTGTTCACTTATGAGGAAAGGATTTTTGAATTTCCCAGGATCGTTAGAACATGCTCTAGTGGGAAAGTATCTACACCAGATTTAACTTATACTATTTTATTTGATCAGCAGGGCAACAAGAACCTGATAAAGAATCAGGAGGCTCAGTGGATGAAGTAGCAAGACAATTGGAAAAACAAGCTTTGGAAGAGAAAGAAAGAGATGATGATGATGAAGGTAAATAGTTAATTCGATCTTTGTGGTTAGAAAAGCTGGAAGATGTGACATCCTCTAAACAGAATCTATTTATTTGTCCAGATAGTCTGTTTTCTTACATTTCACTTTTTAAGGGCTCCATAATGTTACAGATGAAAAGGTAGCTGGGCGTGATGGCTCACAGCTGTAGTCCTAGCTGGTCACCTGTAGTCTCAGCTAGTTAGGAGGCTCGGGTGGGAAGATCGCTTGAGCCCAGGAGTTTGAGGCTGCAGTGAGCTATGATCAGAACACCGCATTCCAGCCAGGGTGACAGAGTGAGACCCCATCTCTTTTTTTCAAAAAAAAGTATATATTAGCAACTCTTTAAAAAGTTGAATATGTTAATTAGCTGCTCAGATAGTATAGATCTCAACTTTTAAAAATGTACTTGGTAGAAGGCCAAGTGGTGGTTATTAATAAGATAAAATGGAGGGGTTGTTTATTTAACTGATACTTACTGAACAACTAGTATGTACAAGGTACTTTTCCAGGTTACTTTCACATGCATTCTCATTTTAACCTCACAAAACCAAGCAAAGTAGGTACTATTCTCATTTTACAGGTAGGGAAGTGGTGGTTATGTGATTTACCCAATGTAACACAGCTAGTATGTGTAGCATAGAGCCAGAATTTCAAAGCTAGCGCCTCATTCCAAGTCTGTTCCTTTTACTCTCTATCCCAAAGCTACCTCTCTTCATTCTCAAAGGAGCATATTGGAGTACTTCCAAAGTCTATTATAAATTCCCTGACCCTAGCTCCTTGTCGGTATTTGGGTGCTATAAGATTTCTTTTAAGACAGTAACTGCTGGCATTCTAGTAATTGATGCTATCAGTAAGACAGTGGAGGGAGAGATGATTAGGAAAAACAAGTTATTCTACAGCCTCTTTTGGCAGAAGGGGAGATGGGACTTTGCCATTCTTTGAATTTGTAGTTATATACTGCCATGACCAACTGCTCCACCTCAAGCATTGCCACCCTGGAGTTATTATGTCTATCACCCATTAGCAGGGGCTATACTTTAATTATTGTGATAGGGTGATGTAGAGTAGTAGTTTTTCCTTTAAAAAGATATTTTCTGCCCTCAAGAAGCTTACAGTCAGCATTTGGTGGAAAAAAATGCCAAGGTTCAAGAGAATTGTTAGCTTTTCCTTTTCCTTTAAGCAAACCTCTTCTCCATTCAACCTGGGTTTATATGTCAGATTAGGAACATCTTGTGAGCTATTAACAAGAAAAGGGTTTGAAAATTGAAGGTAATATAATGGGTTGCCGTAGAGTCACTGCGTGTACAGTATCACAGTGCTAATCTTGAAGTGTATCTTATTCCATTGCTCCACTATGAAGTTGTATGAATCTTTTGACATTGAAAGGAAAAGTTTTTGTCAGATTGGAAATTTTCAGTATATTAAAAAGATTTTAGGAATATTTGTAGTTTTCTCCAGTTTGAGCTAGTCCTTTTCCTAATTAATTTCGATAATCAGGATCAACCAGTACTAATCTGTTATGAGAGGTTTTTGGTTTGGGGGTTTTGTTTTGTTTTTTTAGCATAATGTGTCAAGCAATGGGAGGTCTTTGAGGGAATGGAAAGCTAGTATTTCAGAATCTGGGTATAGTGGAGAGACAAAACAGAGGTGAAAGGTATTTGGGTACCTGCAATAAGATGTATTGAAATTTGGAGGTGGAATTGTAGGCTGAATGCTAAAGGAAGGCTCATTGGAAAGAACAGGACATGAACAAAACCAAATAGAAGAGACCATTTGGGTAGGGATAAGGCGGAGAAATTATTTGAAGCATAATGAACAGTGCAAACCATCTATACAAGATGATTCACTGAGGAAGCCATTGAGCATTTCTAAGAATGTTATAAACAAATAATTTAGGCTTCATATATATGCAGAGTTGTTTACAGGAGAGGAAATGTATAGAAAAGGCAGGAAGATTACTTAGAGGCCACTTAGTAATAGCCCAGGCATGTGATAATGAAGATTAAAACTGATGTTCATGAATAGGAATGGAAAGGAAGAGTCCAGTGGAACAGTGGGATGGAAGCAGAATTCAAAGGACTTGGAGACTTTCATTCTGGGGAACAGGAAAGAGGGGCATTAGTAGACTCCAGGGTATTGGTGCTGTTGACTAAAATAATGAAGTTGAGAGAGCTGTTTAGAGATTGGGGGAGGGGTGTGTAGGCAAAGAAGAGGGTATTGAGTGTAATTTTGGATGTGTTGAATTCAAAACTGGGGTATCGGTATGAAAAGTTGATTCTGTGGGCATCTGGCAATGTGCTGGAGGTAATTCATTCAGTAAATTTTGAATCAGGCCTATTAACATATAATTTGCTTAAAATAATAGTCATACTTTTTAAATGCATAGTTTGGTGAGTTTTGAGAAAGTATGCAATTGTGTAACCACTACCAGAGCCAAGATACAAATCATTTCCATATAACATTTCCATCTTCACAAAAATGTTCCCCTGTGTCTTATAGTCAGTTCTCTTGCTCCACATGCTTACCCTTGGCAACCACTGTTATGTTTGCTGTCCCTATAGTTTTGCCTCTTCTATAATATTATATAAATGGAATTATTCAGTATGCAGCTTTTTGTGTTTGGCTTGTTATATTTAGCATAATACTTTTGAAAGTCATCCAGTTGCATGTATTTTGGTAGTACATTCCTTTTTATTGCTGAGTAGTATTCCTAATTTGTGTATCCATTTATAATTACAGGATATTTGGGATGTTTCTAGGTTTTGTCTATTATGAATGAAGTTACTATGAATGTTTGTGTACAGGTCTTTGTGTAGACATGTTTTCATTTCTCCTGGGTAAATATGTAGGAGTGGGTTGCTGGACATATGGTATGTGTTTAACCTCTTAAGAAACAGTTCAGCTGTTTCCAAAGTGGGTGTACCATTTTGTATTCCTGTCAGCAATGGTTGAGAGTTCCGGTTTTTCCTATCCTTGTAGGGAATTGGTATTGTTGGTTTTTCTGTAGTGATATGTCATTGTGGTTTTAATCTGCACTTTCCTCATGATATTGAGCGTCTTTTCATGCTTTTATTTGCCTTTCATGTATCTTTGGTGAAGTGTTCAAATTTTTTGTCCATGTTTTAGAATGTCATCTTACTGAGTTGTAATAGTTCTTTGTACATTCTGGACGCAATTCTTCATGAGATATGTGTTTTACAACTATTTTCTCTCATCCTGTGGATTGTCTTTTTACTTTGTTGATGGTATTGTTTGTAGCACAATTTTAATTTTGATGATGCTGCCCGGTTTATCTGTTTTTTTAATTTATGAGTAGTACTTTTTGTGTCCTGTCCAAAAACTTAAATCATTGCTGTCTCTAAGGTCATGAAGATTTTCTATGTTCTCTTCAAGAAGTTTTACATATTTTTAGCTGTTAGTTTAGGTCTGTGGTCCATTTAGAATTTATTTTTCTATATAGTGCAAAGTAAAGGTTGAGGTTCTTTTTTTTTTTTTGGCATGTGGCTGTGTAACTGCCATTCAACAAATATCAATTGATTTTGGCATAGTAATTAATACAGAAATAAACATGAACAGTCTCTCTGCCTGTGAAGAATATCCTGGGATGCTGTGAAAGAAAGACATGTAAAAACAAATTGCAACATAATATAATGGTTGGAACCATAAGCATATATAGTTTAATATATTCAGGTCCTGGCTCTGATGCCATCCTGGCATAAAAAGTTCAATAAATGGTGGCTATTATTCTGTATTGAATACAGACATTGGGCATTGAATAAGGTAAATTAGCCTCAGAAGAATTAGAGTATGAAAGAAGGACCTTCTTAACCACATTTTAAAAATGAAGAAACCATGGTAGAGAGAGGGTAAACAACTTGCCTAAGGTCACACAGCTGGAAAGATTTGTAGTATGTGTTTAAAATTGGTTATACATCTTGAATCATTTGTTTTAGGTTGAACCTAGTATATGTAGCAATATGTTAGACACTGAATGTTTTTCCGGAGCAAAAACTATCTTGTTTCCTCTTCTATCCCTGTTGCCTGGCACTTAAGAACTCAGCAAACATTTAATGCAATGAAGAAGGCTATTGTTAAAATTGTAGTACAGAATATGTGAATTAGATTATATGATGCATGAGGGACACTGAAAATCAAATGTTGGCATTTTTCATATTCAACGCATATAACTCCTTGATCATGTTACCTCCCTCTTGGCTAAACTGTTTCTTCCTATTATTTCTGTGAAAGAACAGGTATAAATAAACTAAAAGAACATTGATTGATTGATTGAATAGACTGAATACTTGTCTACTTGCACTTGCTTTTTCCCTTTGCTTGTGAGGTTTAAATGAATGTATTTGAACTTGTCTTTTCTTAGATGGAGATGGTGATGGGGATGGAACAACTGGAAAAAAGAAGAAAAAGAAGAAGAAGAAGAGAGGACGTTAGTGTCTTAATCTTACTTGATAAATTAAAAATGATTATTAACCAACAGGTTTGAAGAGTAGGTTTGAAGTTGCTTAGGTCCTGATAATATGTCAGGGAAATGAACTTAGGCTTAATAGAGGTAGAATTTAGTGATAGAATTTAGTGAAACTAATAATTATTTAGCAAATACTTTGGTTTAATAATCTTTTTGGTATTTTCTTTAGCTGTTATTCAGCTAAGGGATGTCAGTATAAATTGGTTTACTGCAAGTTAAGGATGAGTTTCTAAAAATTTTATAATTTAAAACTTACATAATTCAAAGAATAATTTTGTCAGCTATGGCTAAAGTGGTGCCACTATATGGTAATAGGGTAAACACAGTTTGCAATTTACCTGCCAGCTTTGAAATTACAAAATTCTTGATGAATATTTAATGAGGAGTCCCATTATTTAAAATGTGTGCATATGGTGAGATTTTTTTATTAGTAACTTTTATATTGTACTATTTCAAATTTGTATAAAAGATGATCCTACTTGTTTTGTGTTTCTGTAAATGGCATAACCAAACATCTATGGGGATCCGAAAATATATTAGGTTGACTGAAGGAGATTGTATAGTATTGAGGAATAAAGGTTGAGATTCAGAGCACTTAAGTTCTAATCTTGGATGCCCTTTGGGCTGTTGGGCATTAGGGACCACTGAATGTCTGGTTATGCTTTTCTTTAAAATCTTTCAGACTAAAATTTTATGAATCAGAATTTTAGGGGCTTGACTTCCTTTTTTTTTTTTCCTTTGGAGACAGAGTCTTACTCTGTCTGCCTAGCTTGAGTGAGAGTAGAGTGACATCATCGTAGCTCACTGCAACCTCAAACTCCTGGGTTCAATCAATCCTCCTGCATCAGCCTCCTGAGTAGCTGGCACACACCACCATTAGCTTGGCTAATTTTTCTATTTTTCGTAGAGGCTGGGAGGAGTGTCGGGTGGTGGTGGGGTCTTGCTCAGGCTGGTCTTAAACTCCTGACTTCAAGTAATCCTCCCACCTCAGCTCCCAGAGTGCTGGGATTACAGGCATGAGCCATCACACCTGGTTAACTTTCGTTTTTATCTATATTGGGAGAAGTACTTAATTTATTTTTTAAGGAAGCTATCGCCTCTTTCAGCCTTTTCTGTGATATGTCTCCAGGTGGAGGTGGGATAGCTTTCTTTCTGTTCTTGCATCCATTCTTGCTAGATCCTTCTACTCTCAAGAGAGGATGTCAGCCCTTCCCTTAGCCTATGAAGGAACATGAATCTGTATTTAATGATCACAAGGTACTTGGTCTTCCAGAGATTATAATGTCCTAATCCTTCCATGCAGAAATTGTTAAGGGCGTTACTGTGAGAGATGGTATATTACCTGAGAATGACTTAAGAGATACCTATTTCTCTAAGTACTCTGAAATTGCTCCCTTACGGAGACAGACCAGTGGGGAGGAGTGTTAAGGGACTGTTTTGTATTTGCCCTTGATAGAATTCTTCCACAGACAGATGTTTGAGTATGATGCCATCAGCCTTTGTATGTCTCCTCTGAGGATGTTGTTGAATGTACTGTTCATTATAGTTCTTTATGAACACTCTTTAAAGACACTGTTTTTTTCCTGGTCTTAGAATCAACAGTAATTGTGCTTTACCTGAGTAACTGGCTGTTTTATATACCTGAGTAGTTGATCTGTTTTGTATACCCGCGTGATTGGTCTGTTTTGAATCAGAAACATCATGAACTGTGCAAATTACCTGGATTTTTTTTTTTTTTTAATGTTGGCTGCTGGAGGGCTTAGAGCCAAATCTATGGTTTTGTATTTTGACCTATTTCAGGTTCTATTTTATGTTCTTTTTCTTTTAATTTTTGCTTTCTAATTTACTCTGATGTCTCATTTTTGTATTTTTGATATCCTGATAGCCTACCTTAAACCACTTCCGGAATAAGGCAAATAATGTCATCGTGGGCAGTTCACTGCCCTCGTTTTCCTCATCTATGCAGTGGGAGAATTATAAATAATAGTTATTGTAGATCATTCATAGTTTTATATAATGACTTGGACATAGTGCATTATAATTTTCAAAGGTTATCCAGGATTTCACCTGATTCTTCATTTTGTAGATGAGGAGACTGAGGCGTGGCACCATTTAGCTATGTGTCCAGGTCACAGCTAGTAAGTGGTAAAGGCTAGACTTCAACTCTGATGTTCTGACAGCAAATTCTGTGTTTTTTCTCTAATGATATTTTTGAGTCCTTTATCAGATCTTAATTTGTGAACAATATAAAAGGCATCTTTATCAGATCTGTAGATGAGATAAAGCGGGGGGGGGGGTGATGAGATATTAGTTTGACATAAATTAAGATTTCAGAAGACCAGCATTGATTTTATATACTCTTAATGTTTATTCCTAATATGCCCTTTAAATAGTAGTTTTTCACTTACTTTATTAATACATAATTTATATTTTTATTTTGTTGCTATAGGATTTTCTTATTGTTTGGTTTTTATTTGTAAAAGCCAACCTTTCTGTGCTATTCCACCTCTGATATAGTTAATGAAGATGAAAACATTAGAAGTGTGCTTTTTTGGCCAGGCGCGGTGGCTCATGCCTGTAATCCTAACACTTTGGGAGGCTAAGGCGGGCGGATTGTTTGAGCTCAGGAGTTCGAAACCAGCCTGAGCAAGAACGAGACCCCGTCTCTACTAAAATTAGAAAGAAATTAATTGGACAACTAAAAATATATAGAAAAAATTAGCTATTAATCGGACAACTAAAAATATATAGAAAAAATTAGCTGGGCATGGTGGCGCATGCCTGTAGTCCCAGCTACTCGGGAGGCTGAGGCAGTAGGATTGCTTGAGCCCAGGAGTTTGAGGTTGCTGTGAGCTAGGATGACGCCACGGCACTCTAGCCTGGGCAACACAGTGAGACTCTGTCTCAAAAAAAAAAAATGTGTGCTTTTTTGCTGGGGCCTATGTTGTTTAAATACATAATGGAGTTCTGAGTAGTTGAAGATTTCTTTTCTCAAGCAGCAGTAAATCAGAGAGGAGGTGGCCAGCATGGTGAAGTGTCTTCTGTTTTTAACTCTAAGGTGACAGCAAGGAGGTTCCTTAAAATCAGGACATGTAATAACAACCATTAGGAACTGAGAAAACTGTAATAACTGCTTGATTTTATTTTTAACTACAGAAGTTAATGCTTTATTTGTATCTCACAGCAAAAGCTCAGACAGACCCTCCCTCAGTTCCAATATGTGACCTGTATCCTAATGGAGTATTTCCCAAAGGACAAGAGTGCGAATACCCACCCACACAAGATGGGTAAGGATAGTAAAATAACTTCCAATTTGACTTTTGACAGTTGTAGCTTAGCAATAAAGCAGATTTAACTTTTCTCAGAACTTTGCCTCACTACTTTAATTAAAGCTTATGAAATTGTTGCAAAGAAAATACAGTAGAAGCCCTCTTATCCAAAATGATTGGGACAGTAGCAGGTTGGTTAATGAAAAGAGTGTGTTATGGTGGGGATCATAAAGAATAAAAATCTTTGTAGATAAAAGTTAACTTAAACAAATTTGCTTTTAACCTCTCAACATTTGAGCACAGATTTGCATTGGATTTTACCTTTCACCCCCTCCCCCCATATATATTCATAATGCATTATCTACAATTTCTATTTTGGGTTTCTGTGAAGAAGAGCAAGAACTGAGTGATCTAAGGGTTGATGCCTGTATTTTTATAGTTGTTATCTACACTTAATTTGACAGGAGTGTTTTTTGATGACATTTCTTTATTGAGACTTTTCAGAGTAGTCAGTTTAGTTTTCATAGAAGCAATTCTTTTTGTGTGACATATTAAATTATGTACTTAGAGTAACAAGTACAGATGGGAATAAATTTGCCTGATTCTTAGAATTATTCTATAAGGATCCATTTCACCTGGTCAGCAGAAGCTCATAGTGACATTATGCAGACTGATTGAGAGTATGGAAGCTGGGACCAAACTGTCTGCATTTGAATGCCAGTTCTAACACTTATTAGCTTTGTGACTTGGGCAAGTAATTTATCATGTCTGTGCTTTTCATTTCCTCATCTACAAAATGGGCATTCTGTAGGGTTGTTGTGAGGAATAAAAATATATATATAAAGCACTTAGAAGAGTAACAGATGCATAATGAACATTAAGTAAGTTAGCTGCTGTTACTCAGAATAGTAACCTGTCAGCCACAGATATTCACAATACCATGGGCATTGGTCAGTAGAGGGAATTAAGAGCATTGCTTAATCCAGTGGTTGCAATAGTTGGTTAAGAAAGCTTCTACTGTAGTGTTGTTTTGTGGCTTTTAAAGACATCAATTGCTTTTCCTTAAACACAGAAAAGAACATAATGTTGCTGTATTTTCACCTTCTTCCTAATTCTCAGTTGTGAATGTTCTTAGGGAATAAATCTGTGCAATTGGAATTTTATGGCATGGGCATCTTTTCTTTGAATTTGAATTCATCAATTGCTATCCCTATGTTAAGGCATCTATTTTTAAAATGTCAAAAATACATATAATTTTACATTAATAAATTCTCATAGTACATATGATGTGATCACATTTATTTTTAAATATAATCTTTTAATTTTTTTTGCTTGTTCCCTCTCTTCTTTACCTTCCTTCCAGACCCATGTTAACCACCTAGCAGGTAGCCTTCCATGTTTTTTCTATGCTCATATATGTGTACATCTGTGTCTGTTTATGTAAGGGGAGCGTTTTGGTCATTGTTTGTTTTACAGAAATGGAATCATAGGCATACTTTCTTCTACCTTGCTTTTCTCCTTCAGCACTACCTCTTGGAAGTCCCTACAAGTCAATTAAAGTAGCTCTATTATTATTTCGAGTGGTTTCATAATATTTCATGGTGTGAATATACCATACTTTATTCCACTGTTCTCTAGTTGATGGGCATTTACTTTGTTTCCAATATTTTTTGCCACTGTAAACCATTCTCCAATAAACTTCCCTAGGTAGATAGGTAGGTTGGTAGGTAGAGTGTGTATATTTTATTTGTGTATATAAAATCTCATGTCCTGGTAGTTGTATTATTATGAGATAATTTTTCTGGAATGGGATTGCTGCATCAAAAAAGACGTTAGTACTTTACGGTTGTGAGACTACTAGTGATTTTGAGCATCTTTTGACTTAGCTATTTTAAGTCATATATTCTTAAACACACATGCAGAAATGCCCTGTTAGAATTGTCATCAGAATTGTATTATATTTATTTATTAAGTTTCTGAAAGTTGACAATTTTATCACTGTGCCCTATCCAATGTCATAGTTTGTTTTTTTCACTTACTCAGTTTTTTTCCCCACGGAGGTGCTATCCCTTTCCTTTTAAATTTATTCTTAAGTGTTTTAGGTTTATGTTAACTGATGTGAATGAAATATTTTTATTCTCATTTCCATTTGTATATGCTTATTGCTAGAGTAGAGGAAAGCCATTGATTTACTATAATTGTTAACAGATGGTTAATATAATATTTCTCAGAGTATTAATAGTACTTAAATATTGCAATATTGTATACTATCCTAGAGAAATACAAAAGTGTGAGATAGTGTGGTGTTATGTTTGCTCTTTAATAAATCTCAGTATTTTTTACATTCATGTAACCAGTGGTGACTATTTGCAAATAGATCAGAAGCAGTATCCTTACAGATTGATAAGGTATCGAATATAGTTTGTATCTTCATTTGTTTTTAATAAAATTTTATTGAAAATTGAATGACTTATGTATATAACTAACCACCAGGTTAAGTTCATTCTTCTTTCTTTTTACTTCCTATTTTGAAATAATTCCATACTTACATGTAGGGAGAATAGTACAAAGTACAAACTCCCACATACTTTTCACCCAGATTCCCTTTGTTTTGCCACATTTGTTTTATTCTTTATCTCAATGGAATGTGACAATTATACATATTACATATCATATATAAGTAGTAGTCTGTTTTCTTCTTGGCAGATAGATGGCAAAGGTGGAAAATGTTAAATTGGTAAATCTGTATACATACTACTATTTAGGAACATTTGAAAGCAGCTTGTGTTTTTTTGGCCTGAATAAAGATATGGTGTCCTTTTTAGGGTGTCACATCTGGAGGCATACGATGTCAATTTGTTTCTTATTGGTGGTGTTAATTTTTATAGCTTGGTTAAGGTATTATCCAGTTTCTCCGGTGTATCATTACTGTTTTTCCTCTTGTAATTAGTAATTTGTGGGAAGTTTCGTTGAGACTATGTAGATAACCAGTGGTTCTCACATGTAGCTTATGATAATTTGTTGCCTTTTAAAAAAAAATTAACATTCTCTGCATTTCCTGCATCATTAAAATTTTTTGAAACCAATTTTTAATAGCTATAGTAGTGTTTGTTTGCTTTCCAAAACCAGGATTCAGTTGAGGTTCATATATTGCATGTGGTTAGAATCCCCACCTTTTTCTCTTTCTCTCCATTGCATGATTTTGAGGAAACCAGGCAATTATGGAAAGTCTCATGTTCTGGGGATTTCTCTAGTTGTTTTCTTGTAGTGATGGTAAACTTTTTCCTCTATTTCTGTATTTTCTGTAAACTGGAGTTTGGTATTAACAGGCTTAAATTGGATTTAAGTTAAGCATTTTTGACAGATATATAATAAGTGATTGTGACCTTCATTGCATTAGATGTAATGTCAGGCTGTCTTACTATTAGTTTTACTGTGTTTGATCTCTTGGTTAATGTGACAGCCAGCCCTTTTTTAAAGGTGCTTTTTTCTTTTTGCAGTTTCCAAGTAATCTGTGGGGTACTTTGGTATCATTGGAATATCCTTTTCTTAACAACTTTTTACCTAATTATTTTAATATCCATTGATAATCCTTGCTTTATTTTCATTGGGGACTGCAAAATGGTGGGTTTCTAATTCTATCATTCCTTCTACATTTAGTAATTGATATTATTCTATAAAAAGAGTTTTATCAACTTGGAATCAGCTATAGTTTCTTCTTATAGACAGACTTAGAACATGTTTTATTTTTTACCCTTTAAGTGCCAGTTTTTAGAGGAAAGAATTTGTGTCATATATGTATGCGTTTTAATTATTTTTGGGTGAAAGGCATACATTTTTAAATGGTTTATATATATATGGCATATA